AGAGAGTCCCGGATGGAGCAAGAGAAAGGTGGAGTGCAGAACTCAAATTCTAGTAAGAAGACCAGACTTAATGGTCTAACTGAGACTGGAGGAACTCCGGAAAGCATGGCCCCTAGATTCTCTATCAGCCCAGAACTAAAACAATTACCGAGGCCAACTCTTCAGTCAGATATTGTACTGGACTGTGGGACATAAAGTGATAATTGTGAGGAGTGTGCCTCTTACTTAGCTCAAGTAGATACAAGAGACTAAATGGGCAGCTTCTGTCCGGAGGTGAGATGGGAAGGCAGAGAGGGTTAGGAGCTGGTCGAATGGAAATGGGGAATCGGGTGGAAAGGAGGAGTGTGCTGTCACAGTATGGGGAGAGGAATTAGAGTCACATAACAATGTATGTATAAATTTTTGTATAGGAAAAAAAAAAGTGCTGAGGTTGACATGGACAGCTATGATAAAGAGAAGCCCCTGCTCCTAGGCTCCTGTGTCCCATCCCTTTTCCAACCCCACCCATCTCTTTTCTTCTGTGGCCTCCACCCCTAGTCACCCTCTTGCACCCCCAGGTCCAGGACTTTGGCTGGCCTGAGCTGCACGCCCCGCCCCTGGACAAGCTGTGCTCAGTCTGCAAGGCCATGGAGACGTGGCTCAGTGCTGACCCACAGCACGTGGTAGTACTGTACTGCAAGGTGAGCTGGGCCCTTGGGGTGCACACGGCTGGGGTACCTTCAGCCTGCGGCCCCAGAAGACCCTCCACCCCTGTCTCTTTGTCCCTTAGGGGAGCAAGGGCAAGCTCGGGGTCATCGTCTCTGCATACATGCACTACAGCAAGATCTCCGCTGGGTGAGTCTTCACTACTGCCTGAGAGGCCCCTTCCTTCAGGGTCCTTCGTCCAGCTGACCCCTTAGGAGACCATCTCCCCAGAAGCCCTGTTTATTCAGAGAGCCCTTTAATATAAACTTGATATTTCCATCTCTATTTTCTCACTTGCATTTCACCCCTATCCTGAGCAGATGGTCTTATTGCCCCATTTTACAGATGAGGCAACTAAAGCTCAGGGAACAACTGTCTGAGGTCCAACAACTAGTAAAATGATTGCATGTGGGGCTTTTAGGTCTCTTCACCACCACTCTGAGCTTTTTCTAAGACTTGGGGGAATCACACCTCTCCTTCCTCCCCTGGGGCTTAGGGATGGGAGGCCAGAATGGAGACCAGCCCCTAACCACCCCAAACCACCCTGGTCTCCCCAGGGCAGACCAGGCACTAGCTACACTTACCATGCGAAAGTTCTGCGAGGACAAGGTGGCCGCGGAACTGCAACCCTCCCAGCGCCGGTGAGCAGCCTGAGGTGGAAATGGGTGGGAGAAGCAGCTCACTCCATGACTACCATGGCCACGATTTTCCCATTGCCTTCACTGACCGCCTCCTATGAGCCAGGTGTTGTGCCAACTGCTGAGAATATAGAACGAACAAGGCCTCTGCACTCATGGAGCTTAGATTCTAGTGGCATAAAAGACAAGAAACATGTGAATAAACAGAAGATCGTTTTGGACAATAAGTGCAATGAAGACAATAAAGCCCAACCATGTAATACAGAGGGGCCTGTGGGACAGTCCGGCAGAGATCTGGGGAAGAGCATTCTAGGCAGAGGGAGCAGCAAGTCCAAAACCTTGAGGCAGCAAGAGGGATTCAAGTTAGATGCAAGGAAGAACTTTCTGGCAAGCTGGAAGATGGCAGGGAAGTTCAGAGAAGAGAGGCCTTCCCACGATGCGAGGAGGTTGTGCATAACTTAAATGATACAAGAGGACTTTCAGGAAAAGGGGCTTATGTTCTTCTTGACACTTCCTCCCCACCCCCAGATATATCAACTACTTCAGTGGTCTGCTGTCCGGCTCCATCAGAATGAACAGCAGCCCTCTCTTCCTGCACTATGTGCTCGTGCCCATGCTGCCAGCCTTTGAACCCAGCATAGGTGAGTCTACCTGAGATATACTCATGGGGAGGGATAGCCCCCTGCCCTGCTCCACTCAGTACCCCTCATATACCTTCTCCTCCCTATCCTCCAGGCTTCCAGCCCTTCCTCAAGATCTACCAGTCTATGCAGCTTGTCTACACATCTGGAGTCTAGTGAGTACTCTGTTCTCAGGCTCCTGACACCTCCATGGCCAGGCCAGCTCCCCTGTGCCCATACTTCCTGGATTCCTACTTCTCCAGCCTCCCCAGACACCTGGGCTCCAGCTCCAGCCACTGCACCTGAAAATTAATACCATCATGGAACCCATTTTACAGATGGGGAAGCTGAGGCTCAGTGAAAGTCTCTCACTCGGGGCTCAGACTCAGATGTCCTGACTGCATAGGCCCACCCCTGAGCCCAGGGGCCTCGGATGCAGCCATACCTTCTGTCTTCCCAGTTGCATTGCAGGCCCTGGTCCCCAGCAGCTTTGCATCAGCCTGGAGCCAGCCCTCCTCCTCAAAGGCGACGTCATGGTGAGGGGGGGTCCCGTCAACAAGGAGTATCCAGGGGATGGGATGAGGTAGGGGGAAGTGTGTTCTGCTATCTGCACAGTTGTCTGGTGAGTGATCAATTCAAGGCAGATTGGAGGGAGCAAAGGGAGTACCCTAGATGGGGTGGGGGGTCACCTTGAAATTGAGGTAGGGAAGAAGCTGTGGTCAGGCTGTCCCCAGGGTGGAGGCACAAGAGAGCATGAGAGCCTGACCTTTGGACTTCCTCCTCTCACCCAGGTGACATGCTATCACAAGAGTGGCCGAGGCACTGACCGGACCCTCGTGTTCCGAGTCCAGTTTCACACATGCACCATCCATGGACCACTGCTCACCTTCAGCAAGGACCAGCTGGATGAGGCCTGGACGGGTGAGTCAGTGGCAAGTGGACGGGGCTGGAAAGCAGTGAGGGGCAGACAGGTGGAGGCAGACAGGAGAGCATAGGGTGGGCCAGGTGCCTGGTTCCTCACGGTCCACTCTCCGTAGATGAGAGGTTCCCCTTCCAAGCCTCGGTGGAGTTTGTCTTCTCCTCCGGCCCCGAGAAGATCAAAGGTAAGAACAGCGCCTTGGGTCAGTGGCTGAAAGTTGTCTATCCCCTGCTCCTCATCACCTGGCTGGCGTTTCCACAGGCAGCACCCCACGGAATGACCCCTCTGTCTCTGTTGACTACAACACGGCAGAGCCCGCCGTCCGCTGGGACTCCTACGAGAACTTCAACCAGCACCACGAGGACAGTGTGGACGGTGTGTGGGGCAGGCCCTAGGGTGGGAGGAGGTGCCAGTTTGATGGAGGGGAGGGAAGCATATGCCTTCCTCCCCAGGCAAATCCTCCTCCCAAGAGCCCCCCCCCATGAGCCCCTCTTAACTGGAGTCCCCAGAGCTCTCCTCACATTAACCATCTCTCTTTCTCCCTTTTCCCTGCTTGCCCTCCCTCCCCAATCCTCTTGCCCACTTAGGCTCCCTGACCCACACCCGGGGTCCCCTGGATGGCAGTCCCTATGCTCAGGTGCAGCGGGCCCCCCGGCAGACCCCACTGGCACCCTCTCCAGAGCCACCTCCACCCCCCATGCTCTCTGTCAGCAGTGACTCTGGCCATTCATCCACGCTGACCACAGAGCCTGCTGCCGAGTCCCCAGGCCGGCCACCCCCAACAGCTGCTGAGCAGCAGGAGCTGGATCGTCTCTTGGGAGGCTGTGGAGTGGCCAGTGGAAGCCGGGGAGCTGGGCGTGAGACAGCCATCCTAGACGACGAGGAGCAGGCCCCCTCGGGCGGAGGCCCCCATCTCGGGATGTATTCAGGCCACAGGCCTGGCCTCAGCCGCCTCTGCTCCTGCCGCCAGGGCTATCGGGAACCCTGCGGGGCCCCCAATGGGGGCTACTACAGGCCGGAGGGAACCATGGAGAGGCGGCGACTGGGCTATGGGGGCTACGAGGGCCCCCCCCAGGGCTATGCTGAGGCCTCTATGGAGAAGAGGCGCCTCTGCCGGTCGCTGTCTGAGGGGCCGTACCCGTACCAGCCTGAGCTGGGCAAACCAGCCAATGTGGACTTTGGCTACCGCTCCCCAGGCTACCGGGAGGTGGTGATCCTGGAGGACCCTGGACTGCCTGCCTTATGCCCATGCCCGGCCTGTGATGAGAAGCTGGCCTTGCCCACAGCAGCCCTCTATGGGCTGCGGCTGGAGAGGGAGGCTGGAGAGGGGTGGGCGGGTGAGGCTGGCAAGCCTCTCTTGCACCCAGTACGGCCAGGGCACCCCCTGCCCCTGCTGGTGCCTGCCTGTGGGCATCACCATGCCCCGATGCCTGACTACAGCTGCTTGAAGCCCCCCAAGGCAGGCGAGGAGGGGCATGAGAACTGCTCCTACACCCTGTGCCCAGAAGGCAGGTATGCACATCCAGGGTACCCTGCCCTGGTGGCATATGGCTGTGGAGGAGCAGTTCCCAGTTACTGCCCAGCATATGGCCGGGTGCCTCGCAACTGTGGGTCTCCAGACGAGGGCAGAGGGTATCCTACCCCTGGTGCCCACTCCCCACGGGCTGGCTCCATTTCCCCGGGAAGCCCATCCTACCCACAATCCAGGAAGCTGAGCTACGAGATCCCTGCAGAGGAGGGAGGGGACAGGTATCCCCTGCCCGGGCACTTGGCCCCAGCTGGCCCTTTGGCATCTGCAGGTGAGGGGCTCTGGTGGGCAGGCGGCTCAGGGCAGAGGAGGGCTCTGGGAGATGGGAGGGAATCCAGGGTGCATAGGGCATAGGGAAGTCGAGGGCCTGCTCCTGGCTCACAGCCTCTGTCCCCACTGCAGAGTCCCCTGAGCCAGTCTCCTGGAGGGAGGGCCCCAGTGGGCATAGCACACTACCTCGGTCTCCCCGAGATGCCCAGTGCAGTGCCCCCTCAGAGTTGTCTGCTCCCTCCACACCGTTGCACACCAGCAGCCCAGTCCAGGGCAAGGAAAGGTATGCAGAAGGGTGGCGGTGCTCGGTACTTGCTTGTCCGATCAGGCACCAAAGGCTCAGGGACGGGTGGCCAGCTCACAACAGGGGCTCTGCAGTCCTGCTGACCACCTGTCCTCTTACCCTGCAGCACCCAACGCCAGGACACCAGGTCCCCCACCTTGACACCCACTCAGAGACTGAGTCCTGGTGAGGCCTTACCCCCTGCATCCCAGGAAGGCACTGAAAAGGCTCCTGAGCTGCCAGCAAGAAGTGGGCCTGAGTTTCCAGCCCCTGGCCCCTTCTCCCCGACCTCTCCTCCCAGTTCACCCAATGACCGGCCTCAGGAAAGGAGCCCAGGGGGCCGTACAGACAGTGCCAGTCCACGGGGCCCAGTGCCTACCACACTGCCCGGCCTCCGCCATGCACCCTGGCAGGGTCCTCAAGGCCCCCCAGACAGCCCGGATGGGTCCCCCCTCACTCCTGTGCCTGCCCAGATGCCCTGGCTTATGGCCAGCCCAGAACCGCCTCAGAGTTCACCCACACCTGCCTTCCCATTGGCTGCATCCTATGACACCAATGGCCCTGCCCAGCCCCCACTTCCTGAGAAACGCCATCTGCTGGGGCCTGGGCAGCAGCCAGGGCCCTGGGGCCCAGAGCAGGCCTCACCACCAGCCAGAGGCACCAGTCACCATGTCACCTTCGCACCTCTGCTCCCGGATAATGCCCCCCACCTCCCAGGTATAAAGGCCTTGAGAGGGGTGGGGCCACTTTGGGAGAACCCTCTTTCTCCCAGAGAGGGGCAAGGCATGGGGACTGGGGCACCCTGGGCCTGAGTTCAGTCCCTCCCTGTCCTAGAGTCCTCTACACAAGACAGCCAAAGCAATGTCAAGTTTGTCCAGGATACATCCAAGTTCTGGTACAAACCACACCTCTCCCGCGACCAAGGTGAGGACCCAGCCTGCCCCCATCCCTCCCCACCCTCCAGGGCTTCTGTCTTGGCTTCTGAGTTTCATCCTTTGAGTTGAAGCCCTTGGCTCCCGTGCCTACTCCACTGAGTTTAGCCTTGGCTGAGCCCCACACTAGCAGGTGATTCTGGGCTTTGGGCCTGAGGAGGTTAGATTCAATACCTTCAAAGCCCCTGTTAACTCTAAGGTTCTGTCCCCAAACTCCCAATACCACCACAGCTGTCAGGGCAAGAGAGGCCTGGGGAGCTTGGGTAACAGAAGAGTGGGGCTTGGTGGGTGTGAGTTGGAATGGGGCTTATTTAGCCACTGTGAAAACTTCTCCCTTCTGCCCATAGCCATCACCCTGCTAAAGGACAAGGAGCCTGGTGCCTTCTTGATCAGGGACAGTCATTCATTCCAAGGGGCTTATGGACTGGCCCTCAAGGTGGCTACGCCTCCACCCAGTGCCCAGCCCTGGAAAGGTACAGAATGCTCCAAAGCCTGGAGAATGGGGGTCGGGGGGCAGGTATGTAATCAGAGGCAAGAGGGGATGGGGCATGACACTCCATGGTGGGGAGAGGCAGGCGATGGCCTCTTCCACTCAAGAAAGAATTCTGTCAGGGGGTAAGGTAGGTAGCCTGGAATCTAATAAAGCTTACTCTCCTCTATCCTCCTCTCAGGGGACCCCGTGGAACAGCTGGTCCGCCATTTCCTCATTGAGACTGGGCCTAAAGGGGTGAAGATCAAGGGCTGTCCCAGTGAGCCCCACTTTGGTGAGGAGAAGGGGCCGGGGGAAGGCTATAATTGGGTTGGTTTTGGGAGAGGCCAAGGAATCTCAGGAGAATGGGTGAGAAAACTAGGGGATCTATGGACATCTCAGAACTTTTCTCACTTCCTGCCCTGCAGGTAGCCTGTCTGCCCTAGTCTCCCAACACTCCATCTCCCCCATCTCCCTGCCCTGCTGCCTGCGCATTCCCAGTAAAGGTGGGTGCTTATAATCTGTCCTCTGGTCAAAGGCAGAATCCGGGGGTCCTGGCTCCCAGCCTTCCCTGGGGATGGCAGAGGGCGTGCTCCAGCTCCTAGGGAATGGTACTCCCTTCTGACCTTCGCTGGCCCTCACTTCCCCCAGATCCTCTGGAAGAGACCACTGAGTCTCCAGTGCCCGCCAACATGAGCACGGCAGCAGACCTCCTACGTCAGGGTGCCGGTAGAGACTTCTCCCTCCCTCCCTCCCCTTGGGTATCAAGTTGGGCATTGCAGATACAGAGCATGGGGCAGTGAAAGGCCTTGAGGTGGATGGGCCCTAAGGGAGGCACTTGAGTCATGAAGGCAGGGGAGCCCGTATGTGGAGGGGGGTGGTGAAGGGGATCCTCAGTCTAGGTCCTCAAAGTGTTAGCAACAGGAGAATCATGGCGGGCTTGTTGAAATGCAGGTTTTCAGGCCCCCTCCAGTGTTTCTGACACTAGGTTGGTGGAGTCATGGAAGTTTCCTTTTTAACAAGTTACCTGTGTGATTCTAATGCACTTTGAGCAGGACTAGCTGGGGAAAGTGCAAGAGCTGGTAGAGGGAGATATAAATCTGTTTTCCTCTCCAACTCACTTCCTGTCCCTGCAGCATGCAGTGTGCTCTACCTGACCTCAGTGGAGATGGAGTCACTGACAGGCCCCCAAGCCGTGGCCCGGGCCAGCTCTGCAGCTCTGAGCTGCAGCCCCCGCCCTACGCCAGCTGTTGTCCACTTTAAGGTCTCAGCCCAGGGCATTACGCTGACAGACAACCAAAGGAAGTGAGTCACTGGGCTCGGCCCATGGAGCCCAAAGCTTAGGCCCCCGAGGGCCCTGACTTCTGAGTGTGACTTCCTCCACCCTTCTCCGTGCAGGCTCTTCTTTCGCCGCCATTATCCAGTGAACAGCATCACCTTCTCCAGCACTGACCCTCAGGACCGGAGGTGACCCTCCCTCCAAACCCTTTCCTCTCACAGCCCCTGTGGTCCCATCAGGCCCCACAGACCGACAGTCCCCATCCCCAGGTCCTCCTTTCAGCAGCTATTGCTCAGGGTGCACTCCTTCACAGTTCTTCTCCTTCTGCAGATGGACCAACCCAGATGGGACCACCTCCAGGTAAGCCTCCCCCATGAGTCCAATCTCTCCCCTCCCAAGGATCCAGACATCCCCATCCTCCCCAACCCTGGCATTTGAAACTCCTCCTGAGACAGCCCACCCAAAGCCAGCTGCATTCCCTTTGTGGAAGAGATGCTGAGGTCCCTCCCCACCCTGACTCTTTTTCCCCCCAGGATCTTTGGTTTCGTGGCCAAGAAGCCTGGGAGCCCCTGGGAGAATGTGTGTCACCTCTTCACAGAGCTTGACCCAGATCAGCCTGCAGGTGCCATTGTCACCTTCATCACCAAAGTTCTACTGGGCCAGAGAAAGTGAAGGGAGGCCACAAGCTCAGAGCCCACATCAACACTGCATCCCCTCCTGGCACCCCACAGCCCTCACTTCCTCCTGGGTACCCAGGAGACCCAGCAGCCAGCCCCATCCCTTAGGAATGGGGAGCGGGCATCAGCCTGGCACACTGCTCTCCTTCCCAACCCCAGCCTGCTAAGCTAAGTGACAGGCCCATAAGATGACCTTGCACGTGAGTGGATGGCAGAGGTGTGCATGTGAGGGTAAGGAAGCATTGGAAGTTGAGCCCTGGCAGAGATCAGGACAGCTGAGAACATCAGCCTTGGAGGGGAAACAGGCCCTGCCAGCTCCATCCAGCTGCAGGTCCCAGCATGGCAGGGATAGGGGAGAGGGGTTGGGAGAAGTCACTCCCTCCTCAGCCTCCCTCTCTGAGCAGAGAGACCAGAGTGGAATCACATGAAGAGGGGGGAAAAAAGAGTCTATTTTTGTCTAATAATAAAGAATTTCTATAAATTTTAGTCAGAATTGGAGTCATGCCTTGGTGTTCATGGGAAGGTCAAAGATTCAGGTCTCCTGGGAGCACGTCTGTACTTCTTGGGGGCACCCCAGGTCCCAGGCCCCCAGCCAGGCCCACAGAACATACGTGATCCCCATCCTTGGCCTAACATTTGTCCACATCTCCCCTGTGAGCAAGTGCCCTTGGCTGCCCCTACCCTCCAGCCCTGTCCCTCATCCTACATCCTGGAAAGGAGTCCCCTGTCACGGCAGTTCTGATAAATATGGAAACTCCATCTTTATTGGCTGTATAAACGTCTCTGGTCTGTACATACATTTCATACATCATAGTGCAGGGCCTGAAGGGAGGGCCAAGGGGCGGCCCCAGCAGCATGACAGCTCACCCACTTGCCCCAAAGCCCTACCCACTCTGTGCAAAGCAAGGCCAACAGCTCCTGCTCCCTCTTCCTCCCAGGGGAAGTCACTGTATGGGGAGGGGAGTCAGAAATATGAGGGCTTGTTGGGGGAGGATACATGTAAGTGCTAGAATCCCACACTGAAGCAAAACAGGCAACTGGCACAAGCAGCAAGCTGGAGAGGGGTCCCCGGGGGTGGCAGGTAAGGGAAATAAGAGACCACGCTGCCCCTCTGGGCTCACTTGGCTAACGCTCTGGGGTCTTGCCTTCACCACAGTAGGAGACACATGCACCAGGGCCTCAACCTGCATCCCAGGGAGCTAGGCACAAGGGTACCACGGGTGAGCAGAGGATGGGAAGGGGCCAATCACCTCACACCTCACAGCGCATTTTAACATGTACTTGGAACCCATCTACGTGTGTACAGGTAGTGGGGCGGGAGACTCAGGCTTCTCTGTGGGACTACAGCGCCTGAGCAGGTAACAGGGAGAAAGGCAGCTCTCGGGAAAGAAGAGAGATCCCAGGGGAATCTTCCTGGGACGGCAGCCAGTGAAAGGAGAGAGATGGGCCCAAGAGAACCCCCCTAGCCCAGCCAGGGGGGATGACAGCAGCAACTGGTTCACATGATGAGGACGGGGAAGTTAAAAAAAAGAAGAACGCGAGGAGAAATACTATGGGAAGTAGGGGAGGGAGATGTCTCTACCCTGGGCCTTTGCAAAGCTTCATGCCCAAACAGCAGCTGAAAACGGGGTGCTCACTTCTCTCTACTCATATGGGGCCAGTGAGGAAGGGGGGTCTAGAAGCTCACTGGCCCACCAATATATCGATACCATTCCTTGCGTCTGTTCCTGTCCAACTAGGACTCAGGCCCCGGGACTGATACAGGGGCAGCACCAGCTCAGACACGTGGTCACAGAGGAGCTTGGCAGGGGCCTAGTCTTGCAGGGGTCAGAGTGCCTATGCATCCCCTGGGGCCTGCTGGGTAAGCAAATCCTTGGGCATGTCAGGAACTGGGTACATGGTCCTGCAAAGGGTGAGTAGAGGGAGAAGGGGCAGGTCCAGGGGAGAAGCCCCTAGCCACTCAAGGGGTGCAGATCTACTTTGACTTTCTCCCCACAGCTCAGCATTCCAATGGTGGGGAAGAATCCACCAGAAGGTACAACGGCATCCTTCTTCCCGATGATCTTTCCATTGCGAGTAAAGAAAACCTGGAAGTGGAGGTGGGGAGGAGAACAGAACATGCAGGCTCTGGCCTCTTCTCTGGGGATCCTGGAGCTACACAGGCCTGAACCCCAACCACTCCCAACTCCGGTCATGGACTTGAGAGGAGAGACTTAGTGTGATACAGGAAGTGACCACAAGAGGGTGTCCTGAGGCTGGAAAACAGCCTCCTCCCACTCCCAACGCAATAGTCTGCCCATCCCAGCAGCTCTGGTTACCGCAGAACAGCGCCCTAGGCTATGCCAGACCTCCCTCTTTCCTACCCCCGCTGAGATTTCTACTCCCCACTAACACCCAGCCCTCACTCAAACCCAAGAACCCCAGTCCAACCCCAAACTCTCCCTACTCACCACCACCTTCTTGCCCTCATGCTCCTGCTCTATCTCTTCGCCATCATCTTCCTCCTCTTCCTCTTCCTCTTCCTCTTCCCCCTCCTGGTGCAAGTACATGACATTCCGGACATTCCGGACAGCCCGAGCAGTCGGGGACAGGATCACTGTGTCACAACTGTCATCGCTGTCACCTAGAAGACCAGGAAACCTGAGCTCCTGTGGTACTTCCCCCACCCAGCAACCCCTGCCCTGACCAGCCTGGCTGGCCACGCCTACCCTACTCACCCTCACTGTCCAGAATGTAGTCCCGGGGGAACATGATTCCACAGCCCATAATGTCCCCTTTGTAACAGCGGGGCCCAAACGGGTCCCCCACACCACTGCCATGGAAGATCTTGCCATCATCTGTTGGAGGGAGGGAAGAGGACACACACTTGAAGGAGGGGCTGACACCCTGCACCCCCAAGAGTGGCCCCTGCTTGAAGGTGAACACCTCCCAACCTCCCTCTCTGACCCAGAGGAGGTGAAAGGACAAGCTGTACAGAGATGGAGAAAAAGGCGTGGGAAGAGGGCACCAGAAAAAAAAAAAAATACAGCCATAAAATCTGTCAGTTCAAGGGACTGAGGAGAAGCTCCCTCAGGAAACTGATCGGAAGAGAGAAGCGGGCGGGGAGGCACAGTGAGCATCCAGGAGAGGGAGGGGAGAGGGGACCAGGAACTTGAGGCTCAGTCCTTCTCTAAAGAAAGCCCTAAGGAAATGACACAAACCAAAAACAGAAAATGAAGACTCTGCAGGATCTGCACGAAAGGCGCAGAGGGAGCTAACTCAGAGCCCTGGAATGTCCAGTGTGGGCCCAGGTCTCCCGCCCCTGTCCTGCTCCCCTGGCTTTCAGGGCTGGGAGGAAAAACACAGAAAAGGAGAAAGCAATAGTAGCTTGGGCAGGGGAGATCAGACAGCAGCAGGGGAGTCTCTCCTGCCAGATGTTGGAGGAGAGAGGCCACATATGAGGTGATCAGGAAAATGGGTGTCCTTATGCTTCCACCTCCCCCAGCAGCCCAGCTTCCCCCAGGACAGCCTGAGAAGGAAAGATGCCCTCTGCTCACCAGCATGATAGGCCACAGACCCTCTACTCCATCCAGGATGCCTGTTCTTGGGATAATCCTGCACCAAGGAGAAAAGAAAGCCTATGGTACCACACACCAAAAAGGGACATGGGGGAGTGGGGTCTGAATCGCCCATCCTCTGGAATAGACCACAACCGAGGAAGGCTGCTCACCCCACCCCTGGGACCCCTGCAGCCCCTCATATCCTGCAGGCACATGGGGTTCGCGGGGTTGCAGGGGAAACAGGAAAGTGAGAAGGGCACCTGGCTTCCAAGGCCAGGGTGTAGGCTGCCCCCACCCCAGCCAGGCCTCAGTCACAACACACTCTCAGCTCCTAGGTCACGTGGGTCTGTACTCTCACAGCAGACATGTACAACTGTGTTCTGACTCAGGTTGAAATCCTTCCCCCAGAGCCTAGGCCCCCCAGCTCCCTGAGACCTTCCCAGTCACATCCCAACAGCCCCAGAACTGAGGAGCTCCATAGGCAAAAAGCCCAGCACCAGTCCCCACCTTCCGGGCCAGGCCCAAGGCGATGTAGCATTTCTCTCCAGGGTCCACAATCTCCACCTCGAAGTAGTGGCTGCGGGTGCTCAGTGGGTGCCGGGCCTGGGCCAGCCCCACATCAACGATGCTCTTGCCCTTGCCCAAGTACTCCAGCAGCTGTGAGGGACAGAGCCAGGTGGGGACAGCAGGCAGGCTGACACTCACCCTGAAAACCTGGTCCCAAGGCTGTCTGGGCACCAGTTTCCCAGGTTGGACAAAAACCACTGGGTGAAAGACGAAGGATCTAGAGGCACAATGCAGGCCTTGATGTTCTAGACAGGCAGGGGAGATGAGGGAAGGGGGTAGGAAAAGTGACAGCAGAGGCAAGAGGAAACCTGTGTCAAACGCTGCACCTGCCTTCCTCCTGATCCAACCCCACCCAGATCTAAAGACCTCCCCCTTGCTTTTGGGAGATGGGGAAGACAGCACATGGGGGTGGGTGGGGGGGTGGGGGTCCTGAGGCTAAGTCATCACTTCCCTGAATAACCCTGTTGGCTTTCTCTGTTGAGAAAGGTCTGCCCCAGGGGTCTGTAACACAGGGAAAAGAAGTACAGACTAGGCTGTGGACATCTGACAACTCTCTTAGGCAGCCTGAATGGGGCTGGGGAGGATGCAGAGGTTAGGTGCTAGCCCCAGATGTCTGGGTGGGAGAACACAAGTTCAGACGCCAATTCTATCTGGGATGGGACAATTTCTCAAGGTCCTTGTTCTATCTGGCTTTGAACAAAGCTGCTCATAGCTGGGAAGGGAGCTGCTGAGGGGAGCCAAGGAACCCAGAATGACTGGCTCTACTTCATTTAATGTGAGGGAGGGGAGAGGTCAAAATGAAGCTAGGAAGTCAGGCGTTCCTGTTCCCAGCTCCACATTTCTATTTCAAGCTGGAGAAGGGGTGTGGGATGGGAGGAGAGGGGAGATGACGGATGGGTTCTTGGGGCTCTTAGTCCCACAACAGTCCTGCCTGGGCATGATGGGGCGGCAACCCCCAATCTGGGAGGATTTATTTATCAGTTGTCATGGCAATAGTGGGGCTATAACTCAACCCCATTCCCTCTCCCTCACCCTCAGCATCACCTGGGATTCCTTAATCCCCTTTTAATTAGCCAAACTGCCCCTCAAGTCTTTCTTCTACCCTCCCACCCCTCCAGCCCTGAAGAAAATACACTCCCTGAGGACCTCCTCCACTTATCCCTGGCAAGCCTTGGGATGCTGGCCTCTCACCCCCAAGGATTCCTGCCTGAACAGGAAAGGAGCTGTGCTCGCTTACACCGGCATGGAAGCCGTATGTGTCTCCAGCAGAGGTTGTTGCTTCATCCAGAGAGTGGGGACAGAGGGCCTTGGGGTCCTTCTCAGCCTTGATCCCCAAGACCTGCCACCTCAAGTCTATCCTCCCCTCCTCTCCAAAAAGAACTGGGGGCAGGGTGGGGTTAGGGGTGGGATAAGGTAAAAAGCCAGGGATGTGTGGAAGGCCACTTAAATCCACACCCAGGCTTTCTTCTCTAATTCCTAATGTTCAGATCTACACATTTTGGTTATCTTTTATATTTGCACCCTAGCCCAAGTCTTTCTCCATTATACTGCACTGCTTTCTTCTTTCATGTGAAAGAAATCCCTTGTAGGTCGTCTTATGATTTACTGGGTACTAATTAAGGCCTGGTGGTGCAGTGGTCAAGAGCTATGGCTGCTAACCAAAAGGCTGGCAGTTTGAATCCACCAGCCACTTCTTGGAAACCCTATGGTGCAGTTCTACTCTGTCCTATAGGGTCACTATGAGTCGGAATCAACTCGACAGCAACTTTTTTTTATTTTTTTAAATGAAAGGCTCAAAGGAGCCCTGGTGATGCAATGGTTAAGTGCTCAGCTGTTAACCGAAAGGTCAGAGGTTCGAACCCACCAGCCACTCCATGGGAGAAAAGACCTGGTGATCTGCTTCCATAAAAATTACAGCCTAGGAGACCCTCTGGGGCAATTCTACTCTGTCCTATGGGGTCCCTATGAGTTGAAACAGACTCGATGGCACATAACAAAAACAACAATTATAGCTCATAGGTTCCCTCGGTGGCACAAGTGGTATGTCCTCAACTGCTAACCTAAAGGTTGGCAATTTGAACCCACCCAGAGGCGCCACAGAAGAAAGGCCTGGCAATCTGCTTCCACTAAGCTTACAGCCAAGAAAACCCTATGTAGCAGTTCTACTCTACACACATGGTCAGAATTGACACAACGGCAACTAACAACAATAATTAAGGCCCGCGCTGTTTCAGCTCTGTTCATTTCTTCATTCTCGTCCTCTGTGTGTTCTCTGCTCAGTCTGTTTCTCCTCTGCATCTCTCCCCAGCAGGCCAGGAGGCATGTGGTCTCATGCACATTAACTAGTTTACACTCCACCCATTCAGAACAGCCCCCAGCCCACCCTCTCCTCCCAGCATTGCAGAACTGGGTGGGGACCCCACATCTGCCCTCGACCCACTCCACCCAACTGGCCTCAGAGTAGGAAACACAGTGTTCTCCAGTTCCAGAGCCAAAAGACAGCTGATCCAGATCCCGATCCTTGGGAAAAACCCGCCCAATCATTCCCCCAGCCTCAGCTGTGTGTGTGTGGTTGGGGGCGGGGGGTGCTGTCAACTGCTGAAGTTTTGCCTGCGGACAGGGTGGGGATGCTTCCTTAAGCTTAAAGGCCAGGACAATGAAATGCACTAACATGGGACTCTTCACTCCTCCACCCCACAGAGCAGTTCAGAGACTGCAGACACCCTGGATGACTAGGTCCTGCACAATGTGCCCTCTCCCGAGAAAAGAACCACCCACTCCTGAGTGTGGAAGCCATCGGAATTCATCTGATCCACTCTCCTGCTTCTGGGAAAAGTCTTCCCAAGGCCTCTGGAAGCATCTTTCTGGGGTGAGGGGGAAGAGCGGGCTGGAAGAGGGAAAGAAAGTTCAGCCTCCCTGACAGATCCTCTCTTTTGAGTTCACTCGTCCCTCCTCAGACTACAGCTGCTGGAAACCTAGAGATGGAAGGTGTGGGCGGGTCAGCCCCTAGAGTCTCATTGCTAGATTCTTGACGGTGGCCCCTCAATCTGTGCCTCGGTTGCCTCTTGGTTGCCTAACTCCTGCTACCGCTAGCCCTAACCTTGGGCAAGTTACTTCCATCTCTTTCACTGACACAACAGCCGCAACAGCGGACTCAAACATGCAGATGGTGCAGGACTGGGCAACATCTCATTCTGTGACAGGACTCCAGGGCACTCCAGCTCGACAGCAACTAACAAAAACAATAAGCCTGTTTCTTCACCAGTGAAACAGAGATAATAGGACCTGCCTCTCCAAAAACAGATGTGAAGACTAAATGAAGAGACTGTCAAATGTCAAGCACGGAGCCTGGCACCCAGTAGGTGATCAATACACATTTCTGCTTCTCCCTAAACCAGGATTTGGGGTTATGCCAGAACACGATGAGACACTACTGTTGCTGTTGTGTGCCATCGAGTCAATTCCAACTCATCGCGACCCTCCAGGACAGAGCAGAACTGCCCTATAGAGCTTCCTAGGCTGTAATCTTCATGGGAGCAGGTTGCTCCTGTGGAGTACCTAGTGGGTTCAAACTGCAGATGTTTGGGTTAACAGCTGAGTGCTTAACCATTGCATTTCCAGGGCTCCTTGACAATATATTAATGCTCCCGAAATGTTAACCATCGCCCCAGTGCTAGAATTGACTGGAACTGCCAATCACAAAGAAGGAAATGATCCTTTATCTTGCCCTTACCTCCAACCCATTAGGCTCCCAGCATTGGTCACTGTTTCTCTGGAACAGATGATCACTCAACAGGTTACTTTACACCAAATGACCAACTGTCCTCCCCCAGTGTTCCTCTTCAAACAATGCCCAATCAACAGGAATGCTCCTCCACATCACTGGGGCAGAGGAAACCCTCTCCTTGGGGCTCCAGAACCTCCTCAGGAGCTCTTAAATCTTCCTCCCTCCCCCGCCTCCTCTTTACCACCAGACAGGCAGACTAGATACCACAGAGCCTAGGCTGCAGATCAGAGTGCAGAGAGCCTCCAGCACCCCACACCCTCCCTCAAACCAGCAGGGCCTTCTCAGCCTCTTCTCCCCTGCTGGTACCCGCCCTCCTCCCCTTGCCAGCAGAGACCCTAATCCCTCTTGACAGGAGCAAGGGAGGGCTCAGTGCCCCGAGGGCCAAGCAGCAGTTGAAACAAGAACCATGAACATGCTCCCCACCGGCCAGCTCAGGCCCCAACACGGTCTCCTCCTGGGTTGGGTCTGGAGAGGACCCCTGGGAGGGTGGGGCCTCATTTACCCCCTTTGTGTACCAAAGCTGTTGCCCGGTCGCTAAGGAGTTGTCAGAAGGAGCTATGAACAGGAAACAAAGACAGAATGAGTCTAATCCCCCACCCTCTACACATTACCTCACTATGCAAGGCCTAGGGGCAGAGATGAGGCAGAGGGGCAACACCCCCATCCCTCAGCAAATGCAGCAGCAACTCTTCAACACCCACATGCTCTGGGGAGGGGGGCACTCTTTAGGAGGGGAAACTGAGGCTACAGGAAGCAGGGAAAGAATGCTACTGGAGAAGGAGCTGAGTCTGTCTATATATAGATACTTTGATAAAACAAACACAACTAAATATTAACAATTGTTGAATCTAGGTAGTGGCTATATGGGTCTTCATGGTACTATTTTTTCAGCTTTTCTGTATGTTTGAAATTTTTCATAATGAAATGTTGGAGAGAGAAAAAAAGAACCAAGAATTGAATTGTCTTCTTTATGGGAAGAACTAATGAGAAGGGAGAAGAGAGGATAACTGATCCCATAACTGAAGAGAAAGGGCTAGGAGTAAAGGAATTCCAAGGCAGCCAAGTAAACTCGGCTAGAAGGGCCTTGGCTAAAGAAGCCAGACAGGGGATTCCCAGGGGAAGTGGGGATTTAAACCCAGGAGCTCTGGAGTCATCTAATCAGAAAAAGGGGCAGGAGGAGAGGAGGTGATTGGTTACAGAACAACAGGCTTAAGTAGAAGGTAATAACATGTATTAGACAGTGGAAAAGACACCGGGTAGGGATCAAAGAACGAATTTCAAGTTTTGATACTAACTTGCTGTTTGACACTTGAAAGAGTCTCTTCACTTTTCTCTGAAACTGTTTTCATCAACAACAAAACCGGGGGCTATTAGGAAGTGTATGGGTGTACTTTGGGCTGTCACAGTGACTAGGGGAGAGGGTTACTAGCATTCTGTATCTGGGTTCCAGGAATGCTAATGTCCTGCACATCAAAGAACTGGCCCACCTAACATGCCAAGAGTCTCCCAGCTGAGAAACCTTGGTCTACATGACATCAAAGGGTCTCCCAAATCCTATGGTTCTAAAAGGTACACTACTGAGAAGAAGGACCGATTACTCTCATCACCCAGAGCAGGAGAAACAAAAGCAGGGGCCTCAGGTCCCAAGAAAGGGCTCACCAGCAGAGGGGGATGTAAGTGGCAGGAGTGGGCTAACAGGAGAAATAGCTGTGCTAGAGGTCTTTAGAAACACGAGGCAAGGGCATGGGCCAAATGACCTCTCCCAGGCTCCTCCAGGCTGACATGACTACAATTGCCGGGTCAGAAGTACACTGGGTGGTGAAAAGGGACAGGAAGGAGGCCAGGAGACAAGTGGGGATGGGAGGCCCAAGGGGATGGAAGAAACTGGGCAAGTCATCCTTGTTTGAAAGATGGAATGGTTGGCAAGACTACAGAGGCACATGTCCCTCAAGAGGCTCATGCCCAAGTCTGCCCAGAAGAGCAAGTGCTCAGGGAGTAGCTCCCCACTCTGCCAGCTATCCCAGGCTAGGGGGGAGTCTGAGACAACAGCCAAACTCCATAGCTGTGTCTGAGAAAAAGTTCATAAATAAGTGGCCTGAAGGCACTGGGGGAAGAGCAAGGAGGAAGGAAGGCTATTTATAAATTTCTACAGGATTCTGCATCAATTAGAAAAGACTGCCTGGGAGGAGCTGGGAGCAAAGTGGGGACACGTCCAGGCAGGGAAAAGATGCCAGGAAAAAACTCTTGAGGAGAGGTCAGGGGTGAGAGCTGGAACATCGCCCTGGCTCAGACCCAAGTTCAACTTTGTAGATGTTGTCAAAATGAGGGTAGAAGGAGAAAAGAAAAGAGATGAGTGCCAAGGAGTGGCCATTCGAGGCCTCCTGGCTCACAGCCGCTGCAGCTCTTGGACCTTAGCACTGGGAAGGGGTACAGGGTGTGCGAAGCAGGAGGAGGGCATGCTTTCTACCATTGTCCCTGAGTTCGACGCACACTGAACTCCAGAAGGGGGGTCTTGCTCATAATCTACCCCCATCTCCCACTGCTTCTGTTTTGCTATCAAAGGCTGACTTGAAAACAGCCTAGGTTGGGCTGAGAAGGCCAGAGGGTGGACAAAAAGGCGATCCACCTGGGGGGCCCAGAGCAAGGGGGCAACAGAGGGACAATTCAAAGTGGGAGGCCTGAGCAGTCCACTAGAGGTTAACGCCAGACCCCTGACTCGGTGTCCATTCACTCTCAACCCAGCAGGAGGCTCTGAGGGTAAGTATGAAGAAATTCCCTCTTTTTAAGGCCCGTAAGCTTCTCAAGAACGTTTAAAATCTAGGGAGAGATTAAAGCAGGTATGATGAGAAGATGTATAAACCAAGCCTTAAAGGGTCAAGGATTCTCACTGAATCCTTGTCTGCCTCCATGCTCATCATCTATAAAATACAGGAGAAGGTAAAAGAGACTGAATTGAAGCTTACTCCCAAAAGATCTCAGAGAACCTTTCCGCACATGTGTGGGACTGTGACAACACCTGCCCCACAGCACTGTGCAGGAAAAGCCTGGGCCAACTGAGCTGGGATCCAGCCAAAAGGAGATGCAGGCCTCCTGCCTCCAAATCAGCCCCCAGCCCCTCAAAGGCAGGTGTGCAGGACAGTAGAGGGTACCAGGTGCTGAAGGAACCAAAAAGGCAAAGGAGAACTGCTGCTCTCAAATGAAGGGGAAGGGGAGAAAGGGAAACTAGTACTAAAGAGAGCACAGACCTAGTTTCTAAGACTCATGTCAAGGCCCCAGGTATCCTGCCAAAATTCCCATTTCCCAAAACCCCACCGAAAACACTGCCCCCACTTTCCATTCTAACTAGTCAGACATGCTTATGAAGCCTGCAGGTGCTCTGCCCAGCCCTCCCAGCCAAGCCTCCTACTGTCCCATTTTCCTTACTTACAGTCCCGCAGACTCTGACATCATGCAGCCGGCCCCACTCGTCCTCGTAACTGTCCACCATCATGACACTGTCATCCTCATGGCCCAGCTCAGCATTGAGGTGCAGCCGCACCTCCTCACCCAGGGAGTGCATGCCCACTGCTGGGAATAGTCCATCCGGGGACATGGGCATGATGGTGGAGCCCACCTGTAGTGGAGGGAGGGGGGAAGGGAGCTGTTGACTGGCTCATTTTCCACAGCTCATCTAATTCTTACAAGGGTAACTCTGAGGTGGTGTAACAAATAATTATCACCCACACTGACAGATTAAAAAAAAAAAATCAAAGTAGAGGTATAGAAAAGTTTGAAACTTTGCTAAGTACCCCTGGTCGAGCAAGATATCCACAGAGCTAGAAGGCGAACACAAGTCTCTTGACTTGCTGCCAAATACTTTTGGTGCATGTGTGTGTTGGAGCAGAAAAATGCTGAGGCATGGATGCTAAGAGAGGAGGACCTGTCAGCCAAGGCCTGAGAAAGCAATTTTCCCAGGGTGAGAGATGGAGCTGGTTAGGAGAAGGATAAAAGCTGCTGTCTCTCTCTTCTGTTTGCTCATGTCCCGTCTCTTCACTTCTGAAGAGGGTGGGAAGGAGAAGTGAAACAAGGGAAATAAACATAGAAAGGACATATTCCCGAAAGTATTCGAGTCAAAAACCCAGAGGACTTCCAGCAAATGTAGCCAGACCATAATCTTGCCCTCTGTTGGTCTGCTCAAAACCTTGCCCCAAATCACCCAGTTCTGTTCCCCACAACTTCTATTCATTCTCTGCCCATCCTCGTCCTGTATATCTATCATCTGAAGAATGCCCCAGCTTCCCCTGGGCAGGGGAAGTGTCTTCTACACATACGGGACTTCAAGAGAAACTGAGGTTGGACTGAAAGAGATAGGGAACTGTGGGACTCTGGGTAAGCCCCAACCACCAGACTCTTTCTAATCACTGTCCACAAATCCTTGCATAGCTTCAGCCTTCTTAAATCCCACCCAGTATTCCCCACTCACCCGCTTCCCATTTTTGGTGAAGAAGATCTGGGCGGTCTGCACATCAAAGGACACAGGCTCAATGCCACAGCCAATTCGGTCCCCAGAGTTACACTTTGACCCAAACTGACGGCCCTTGGCTCGGCCATTGTACAGCCTGTGGATAGAGGAGCACAGACACAGGGCCCAAGCCTGGCTTCCCAGCCTCTCCCAGGCACTGAGAGCTGAAGGCTCATCTTGCTGCTCCTAGTCACCCTGTGATGGTATCTACCTAGGCCCTGGGCGTGAGCTTCACACTCCCTTTTAAGTCTGCAAACCTCCAAGGGTAGCCATCAGGCTGCCTCCCTATCCTGGTCAAAAAAGTTTATGAAAACACTCCAAAACAGGTGAAGGAATGGGAAAAGCCATCCTTCATATCTAAGATTCCCAAATCCATAGGAAAGGGGTCAGGTTCCACAAGGAGGCAACTCACTTGCCATCATCAGCGTGGTAGGCTACAGAGTCGGGCAACCAGCCAGGCTGGTGATCCAAGCTATAGTACTGAGGGACCAGCCCCACAGCAATGGTGCCCCGAACTCCACTGTCCACAATAGACACCTGGAACAAGGACAGAAGGGCACAGTTAGCAGGGATGGAAGGAATGGAAAAGGGGATGAATTGCTTATGGCGGGGAGGAGAGTTAGAGATCAAAGCAGGCTGAGGCTCAGAGACAAACTTTGGAATCAGAAAAAATTCAGGGGAGGAGGTGGGGAGAGTGGGGGCCTACTTTCCCATAATTACTTAGAAAATTATTTCCAAACTATGGAAAAAGATAGGAGATGGAGTAAATGCTGGACCTGGGTTAGAGGGTTGGGAAGGATAAGGGTCAAAGTCTGGGATATGGGTCAAAATCTACCCAGGCGAGGGGCAGGAGAGCAGAAGAGACAAGGTGACAGGACTCCAGGGCACCTGTCTCTCAGATTAGGAGCCATGCTCTCCTGTACCCTTTTCCCAGCCAACAGAATAGCCCTGATGGAAAATTAAAAGGACAACGTTATAAATCTAGTAAAGGAGCTCCCTGGAGCTTAACAATTTCACCCTCTGCTCTACCCACCCACTGCCTTGATCACCTCAAAATAATTGCTGTCCTTGGTCAAGGGTCGAGATGCCACGTAGCAGCCAACTTCACCAGAGTTTCCATGGTAACTAAAGAAGGAATGGGGAGGAGTTCCATTAGCAGCCTAGCCCAGGACCTAGGGGGAGGGCCTCAGCATCCCCAACCCCCACCCTGTGAGGAGCAGCACAGAGGAGAATCCAGCAGACCACGCTTCAGCACAGACACCATAATAAGATGCTTCAGAGGTCACCCCACCCCTCCCGCTGCCTCCAGCCAGAGTCCAACCCACACCAGACCTACGCAAGCCTGGCTTCTCCTTCATTTCCAGAGGAAAAAGAATGCAGAGCTTCCCTTAGTTGCCTATTAGGGGTCTCACAACCCTGTCTAACCTCAGACCCTCATGCTGCAGCTTCGGCCCTTTTCCTCTGGCTCTGTCCTCAGTGGAGCTGGAGAATGGCTGGTCTCTATCCTCTGTACCAAAGCCCTTCGTTGATTGGAAGACAATTATTCACTCCCCAGTCCTCAGCTTTCTTGTCTCCAGGCTAAATAACACTACTTCCTTCCCCTTTCAGTGGCAACTCTGTGAGAGAACTAGGGCTCAGAAGGAGTCAGGGAAGGGGTTTGAGCCAGAAGAGAGAAAACAAACACAAACACACAAACGAAAGGGTTGGAAAACATGGCAGGTAGTGGGTAGGATGCATCACAAAACTGTCCGTCCCAAAACAGGAAACCCACTGCCTTCACAATGGCTACTCTTCACTGAACCCAACTGCTAAGACATAGGCAAAAGGAGTTTCAGACACTCCACAGACTCATGGAGTCCTCTCAACAAGGCACTTGGGGAACTCCTACCTCAGGCCCTGGCAGCCTCCTACTTCTGACACAATAGCTTCCACTGCACAATCAGGACAGACCCTTGCGAGACCGGGACAGTGACCCAGGGACCCAGGGACCCAGGTGGAGGAAAGTTCAGGGTGAAGCAGAACACACTGCTCCACTCAGAAAGGCCTCCGGGGTCAACAGCATCCCCTCTCCCAGTATAGTGCAGACAGTCCCCTCCCTCTGAAAGAGCCTTAGCATCTCTAACATCCAGCACAGAAAGAAAAATGTGAACACATTCCCCTAAACTCACCTCAAAGTATCTCCATCTACAAGGATGTGCTTGAACCTCTCCTGATATCGGAAAGCCCGGACCTCCCGAATCTCCCGGATCCGCCGGCGCCAATTCAGAAACCGGTAGTGCAGGTTGAGGTCATCCATCTTGTTCATGAGAACAAACCTGCCAAGGGGGGAAGAAGATTGAGAAGGAAGCAGGGCTCTGAGCTAAGCACCTCAGCCTGCTCAATCCAGAATGTGGGGAGAGAGCTAGACTTGGAGCCAGTTCCACAGATTGAGCGCCTCAACAATCCCCACCCTCATCCTTTCATTCAGCAAACATTTACTGAGCTCCTACTCTATGCACTGCTCTATGTACTATGGAAAGCAGCCCCGATGACAGAGTGGTTAAGTGCTCAGCTGCTAATCGAAAGGTCAGTGGTTCGAACCCACCAGGCACTCCATGGGAAAAAGATGTGGCAGTCTGCTTCCATAAAGATTACAGCCTTGGAAACCCTATAGGGCAGTTCTATTTTATTCTACAGGGTCACGATGAATCGGCATCGAGTCGACGGCAACCAGTTTAAGTACTAGGATACAGCTGTGAACAAGATGGATGGGATCCTGTCTGTTCTCATAGGGCTTCCATTCTAGGGGGTGGAGGGTGAGAAGGGAAGTATGACCAACAATAAACAGACATGACAATTTTAAACAGCGGAAAAAAAACCAAGATGATGTGATCAAGAATAATGGGGAGCTACTTTGGATAGAGTGGAGAGAAGGTCTCTCTGAGGTAACACTGAAATTGAGATTAAAAAGGAACCAGGCATGTAACAAGGCCAAGTAAGAGTATTCCAGGCAGAGGGACGGCCAGGGCACAGATGTTGCGGTGGAAGGGAGTTCGGCATGGTAGAAAAATAGAAGTCCAGGGTGGCTAGTGTGTAGGGAATATGGGACAAGAAGAGGTCTGAGAGGAAGACAGGGGGCAGATCATGGCCCTACAGACCATGATAAGGAGTTTAGATTTTATTCCAAGTGTGATGGGAAACCTTTGGAGGCTTTTGAGCAATGACATAATATAATCTAATTTATGTTTTTAAAAAGATCATTGATGCTGCTGGTTGGAGAACTGAGCATAAGGCGAACAAGAGCAGAAGTGGGTGAACAATTAGGAGGTACTTGCAGCAGTTCACGTGAAAGATGGCATCCACTAAGATGGCAGCAATGAAGATGGAGAGAAGTGGTATTTAAATCACATATTTAAACAACCAGCAATGCCAACACATGAATGAATGAATAAATCTTCCCCGGGAGCCAAAGGTGAGACAAAAATGAGGTGATTTTTTCTTCCCATCCCAAAACTTCATCAAGGTCTGACAGTGCCTTGCACATAGTAGGTGCTTAGTAAGCATTAGCTGCGCTGAAATGAATCCCAATGTGGACATTACTGTCCCTCTACAGCGGCTACAACCCACAGGCACCACGTAGCCAAGAAGGGTGGGCACCTATGAGGAAGCCCCAGGACTCCCTTCCCGGGCACTCGGCCAAAGCTTAACCCCAGGTAGATGCTGGCGCCCCAGACCTAGGGGCATGTGGTTACCCAGAACCCCACAGCTTTGGCACCGGCGAGCGGCGGCCGCACTGGGCCCCGCCTCCACCCCGAAACAGCTTGGTCATTCAGACAAGACCAGGGGGCCTATCCGTCACTGTGACTACGCCCATTCTCCCAGGCCCTGTACCGGGCCGGAGTGCCCGAGGGAGGAAGCCCAGAGACGGGAGCTCAAGACCCTGCCCCTTGCCCCCGGAACCCCAGCCCAGGACCCCCTCCTCCTGCCTTGGGCTCCCGGGAGACCCGAGGCCTCCGGGACCCCGCCCCGCCCCCCGATCCCCGCCTACCGGGGCCTCCGCGTCCTCCTCATCCATAGGCCTCTCAGCTCCGCACACTAGCTCTTCGGCCACCGCCACCACACACATCCGGGTTCCCGCCCTTCCTACGCTTCCGAGACCCGCCCCTCCTCTCCCAGCCTTGCCAATCGGCAGCGGCCTATGACGACAGGCATCTGGAGGAGCCAATCGAAGGGCCCGGCAAGTCTGGGGCGCGCCCCGGTGAACCCGGGTACTTAGCGGGTTAGCGTCTGGTAAACCCGGGTGTTGGGAGGGTGTAGGTGGCGACGTGGCAGTGTGGACGCTGTGCTGGGTGCCCTGGGCGCCGAGTGGGCGGTCAAGGGGCGGCTCCTCCGCTGGGCGAGGCAAGAGGAGAAGGTCGCTGCGCACGGAAAAATATTGCAAATATTTGAGTGCTCATTCTGTGCCAGGAGGGATGCTAAAAGCCATAGGAATGTCCTTTTAATCCACTCAACAACCTTATAAAATAAATTTTATTATTAGCTCCTTTTTAAGATGAGAAGCCTGAGGCTCAGAGGAATTACGCTTCCATAGCCTGTTCGCTTAGTTATTACCATGTGTTTTATATTCTCCCGAGCTCTCTGACGTCCATTTCGTATCACCATGTCACTGTTAGTTCATTCTGGGAAGGACATTGTATTCCAAGGGGAGGTAACATGTCATGCAAAAGCACAGTGGCGTGAAGTAGCGCGTTCAGGAACAGTGGTTTGGTGTGGCTAAAGGAAAGCTAGGCTGGGGTCAAGCTGGGGAGAGGAAGGATACTAACATTTACTGAGCACCTAGTAAAGTGTGTTTATTGCCATTCTAGGGAGTTTGGACTCCAGGAATGAGGACGTCCTTGATTTTTCTGATCACTGAATCTCTTTTCCGGGTAGAAAGAATTTCCCCTTCTCTGTATTCTCATACCATGTCATATGCACTTCATTTATAGCACTTACTACAGTCTTGCTTTTATTATTAAAGTCACCTGTGTATGTAGATCTGTTTCTCTGCTAGGCTATGAACTCGTTCAGACTCCAGGACCTATTCTATACCTAGTACTGTACAAACGTTGAATGAAGGGGAAGCCATCATCTCCTGTACCATGAACCACTTGGCATAATGGAAATAAGTGTAAAGGAAATAGGGAAACCTGGATTAGAGCCCCAATTCTGTGTGACAGAAAGTTCAAGGTCTTGGTGTTCTCATCTATAAACAAGAATTATTGAAGCATGTGTTCTTTTGGCTCCTTTCCAGCCCCTCGATTACATAGTTCTGAATAGTTAACCTTTTCAACTCATCTCCAGCTCCTTCTGGTTCCATTCCTCTGGGTTTCTCTCTTCCACCTCTTCTTCCTGAGCTATGAAAATACCCTGAGCCTCAACCCGGCTCCTCCCAAAGGCAGCCAGAGAGGGACTGACCAGGGCAGGTCCCAGATTCATGTCCATCCCACACCATATCTCCTGACTCCTTCCAGAAGCTAGTCAGCTGGCTAGCAGTTGTGGTGGAGAGAGACACCAAAATGTATTAATAATTGGTGATTCCACTTGGGATTTCCTCATCCTCAAGTTCCAGGTGTAGTAGGGCAAGACTCCTGGTGAACCCTTGATCCATTGGCATTCTTAGGACCATAATTGTAATTTGTACTTGGCATCTAGATGTATTTGACTAAACAGCTTTGTTGAAATACAACTGACGTAAAATAAACTGTATGTATTTAAGGTGTAAAATTTGATGTTATGTATACACCCATGAAAACATCACCATAATCCACATAGTGAATATACCATTGCTCCCAAAAGTTTCCTCATTTTTCCTCCCATCCTCCCACCCTCAGGAAACCACTAATTTGCTTTCCACCTCTAGTTTAGTTTGCATTTTCTATGGTTTTATGTGAATGGACTCAAGTAGTATGTACTTTGTGTTTTTTTGTGGGGGGGAGGGTTCCGGCTTCTGTTATTCACCATAATTATTTTGAAATCCATCCATGTTGTTTGAATCAATAGTTCATTCCTTTTTATTGCTGAGTAGTATGCCATTGCTTGAATATACCACAATTTGTTTCTCCATTCACATGTCAATGGACAGTTGGCTGCTTCCAATTTTTGGCTATGAACATTCATGTACAAGTCTTTGTATAGACATATATTTCATTTTCTCCTGGGTAAATACCTAGGAGTGGAATGGCTGGGTCACATGGTAGGTGTACACTTACTTTTTAGACTAACTGCCTGTGATGGCTAAGATTGTGTGTCAATTTGGCTGGGCCATGATTTTCATTTAGCTGTTATGTAATGATGTAGTTTGGCAGTTATGTAATGATGTAGTTATTCTCCATTCTGTGATATAATGTAATCACCTCCATGATGTGATCTGATGTGATCAGCCAATCAGTTGTAAGGGGAGTTTCCTCAGGAGTGTGGCTGCATCCAATATATATGGACACTCTGGCAAAGCTTGCTGGCTTTTGCTTGCTCTGGATCTTCATCTGGTTCATCATCATCTGACCTCTGGTTCTTGGGACTTGAGCCAGTGGCCTGCAGTATTGCCTGCTGATCTTGGGATTCGTCGGCCTCTGCAGTCTGTCAGCGAGCAGCCTGCCATCTAAACTGCTGATCTTGGGTTCGTCAACCTCTGCAGCTACGTGAGTCAGAAGAAGCCTCCAGCCTGATGCCTGACTCAGACTTGGGACTTGCCAGCCTCTACAACCACGTGAGCCATTTCCTTGAGATAAGTCTCTCTTTCTCTCTGTGTTGTTGTTGTTATGTGCCATCAAGTCGGTTTCAACTCATAGCGACCCTATATGACAGAGTAGAACTGCCCCGTAGGGTTTCCAAGGCCCGGCTGGTGGATTTGAACTGCCAACATTTCAGTTAGCAGCTGAGCTCTTAACCACTTTGCCACCAGGGCTCCAACATATATATGTGTGTATATGTGTGTATATATATATGTGTGTGTATATATATATATATATATATGTATATGTATATGCTTCACTGATTTGCTTCCCTAGAGAATACAACCTAAGACACTGTTAAACTGTTCTCTGAAGCAGTGTATCATTTTACATTCCCATCAGCAGTGTATGAGAGTTCCAGTTGTTTTACAACCTAACCAAAACTTGATACAGTACTCTTTTTAATTTTAGCCATATCTAATAGGTATGGAGTGGTGTTTCACTGCGGTTTTAATTTGCCTATCCCTGGTGACTAATGATGTTGAGCATCTTTTTACATGCTTATTTGTTATCCATCTATCTTCTTTGGTTTTAAGTGTCTGTTCAAATTGTTTGCTCATTTAAAATTGGGTTGTTTCATTAATATTGCATTTTCAGAGTTCTTTATATTTTCTGGATTCAAGTCCTTTATCAGATATGTGATTTACAAATATTTTCTTCTGGTCTGTGGCTTGTCTTTGCAGTCTCTTAAGTGTCTTTCAAAGAAAGTTCTTAATTGTGAAGACGTTTAATTTGTTGATTTTTGATATTGTATCATGTATTTGGTGATGTATTTAAGAAATCTTTGCCTTGCCCCTGACAGAGCGGGAGAATAGTGTGGAGCAGAACTCAAATTCACATAAAAAGACCAGACTTAATGGTCTGACTGAGACTGGAGGAATGCCTGAAGCCATGGCCCCGGGTGCTCTATTAACCCAGAACTAAAACTATTCCCAAAGCTTACTCTTCAGACAAAGATTAGACTGGGCTATAAAACATAAAATAATACTCATGAAGAGTGTACTTCTTAGTTCAAGCAGATACACGAAACCAAATGGCAGCTTCTGTCCAGAGGCAAGATGAGAAGGCGGTAAGGGACAGGAGTTGGTTGGATGGACACAGGAAAGCCGGGGTGGAAAGGAGCAGTGTGCTGTCACATTATATGGACTGCAACTAGTGTCACATAACAATATGTGTATAAATTTTTGTATGAGAAATTAACTTGAGCTATAAATTTTCACCTAAAGCGCAATAAAAAAAAATATAAGAAAGAAAGAAATCTTTGCCTCGTCTGTGATCTCAAAGATTTTCTCCTGTGTTTTCTTCTAGAAGTTTTGTGGTTTTACATTTAGGTCTATGATTTCTTTTTAACTTTTTATTTCTAAACAATTTGAGACTTGCAATAATAGTACATGAGTTCTGTGATCATTAAGGTTATGTGTCGACTTGGGTGGGCCATGATTCTCAGTGGTTTGGCAGTTATGATGTAGTTTGGCAGTCATATGATGATGTGATCACTTCCATGATGAGATTTGATATAATGTGATCACTTCCATGATGAGATTTGATATAATGTGATCACCTCCATGATGGGATCTGCTGTGAGTAGCCAATCAGTTGAAAGGGAGTTTCTTTGAGGGTGTGGCCTGCATCGGATATGTAAGTGGACCTTCTGGCAAGACTCATGGGCTTTTGCTCGCTCTGGATCCCACAGCTGGCTCCTCCTGTTCATCTCACCTCCGGTTCTTGGTACTTGAGATAAATCTCAAGCTTACCCACCATCTTGCCTGCTGATATTGGGATTCGTCAATCTTTGCAACCTGTGAGCAAGAGCCCTGCTGTCTGACCTGCCAGTCTTGGTTCACCAGCCTCTGCAGCTATATGAATCAGGAGAAGCCTCTATCCTGACCCACAGGCTTGGGATGTTCCAGCCTCTACAACCGCATGAGCCACTTCCTTGATATGAATCTCTCTCTATATATATATATTTATACACTTTACTGATTTTGCTTCTCTAGCAAACCCAGTCTAAGACAAGTTCCATATAACCTTCACCCAGTCTCTCCTAATGTTAACATCTTACATAATCAGCACAATGATTGAAACCAGGAAATTATTACTGGTACTATACCGTTAAGTAATCTACAGACCTTATTAAAATTTTGCCAGTTGTTCCACTAATGTTCTTTTTCTTGTTTAGGATTCAATCCAGGATCCCACATTATATTTACTAGTCATATCTCCTTAATCTTCAATATGGGACATTTATTCAGCCTTTTTTTGAAGAGTATAGGCCAGTTATTTTGTATAATGTCCCACAATTTTGGTTTATGTGATATTTGCTCATGATTAGATTGAGATTATACAATTTAAAAAATATCTTTATTGAGATCCATAATTCATTT